TAAAAAACAGAAAACAATTAAAAGACAACATGCATGTAGTGCTATCAACAGAGCAGACATGGAACATTGTATTGAGAATTTATGCTAAAATGATCTGCTCTGCTTTTTCCAAGTCTCCACGTAGGGGATTTATAACTGCACTCATTTTCTAGAAAAGCCAGGCTGATGCTCCCACAGAAATGACCACATATTGCTCACACTGGCCACCCCAAAACTGTCCTTGCAACCGACTCTAAAGACACTATCATAACGTATCCTAACACAACAGATACCTACTGAAAAGCTGATGCAGTCAAACATTCTTAAGAATTAAAGTATGGGTATTGACATAAACACATAGATGAAAAAAACATAACTCTACAGTGTGTTAGGTACAGTAAAATACTGTAACAGCATCTTTGAAATTACATCCAGTACAGTAGGCCTACTTCGATGTGCCAAGGCTCTCCATCATCCAGAAGAAACCGAGTCATCTTCATCTGGATGCTTTGAAGCTCAAGTGTGCTCCAAGGCCATACAAAGTTAAATTAAACTTTCCTTGACTCACCAAAATCAGATTTTGGGCAACATTTACAGACAGAACTGTCAAGTGACTGCTGTTTGGCTATGGTCCTCAGACGCACTCACTATTCTATAGCTCCTGTCAGGTCCGTCTTTGTCTCTAGCTGTGGCAGTCTTGACAGTGGAATTCCATGACTCGAAATGACAGACACTTATGTTTTGAAGGATAATTTTTCACGTTAGTAAACACACTCGCTAATTTGAGATGCACTGATAGCAAAAATTAAAAATGCATCACACTGATTGGTTTCTAAAACCCTACAGTAAAAGACAGTGAAATCAGCTGGTCTCTGTAGCTCTACGTACAATACTAACAATGTGTAATAACACCTGAGGCTAAGGTACTGCACCTGAAGACCGCCAGTCACTGAACTAGACATCCATCCACTCATCCATTTTCTAACCCTTCTTTCATTTCAGGGTCACGGGGCACTGGTGTCTATGGGGACAAGGCAGGGTACACTCTGGACAGGACCCAGTCCATCACAGGGCAGTCACAACAGGGCCAATTTTCCCAGAAGCCAATTAACCTACCAGCACAATTTTGTATTACAGCAGGAATTACACCCAGAGGAAGAGGAAACCCACCTGAACACAGGGACAAACACCACATAGTTAGCACTCCAGGTCTGGAATTGAACCCAGGCACCAGTGACACAAGGCTGCAAAACTAGTCACCCTGTGAAGTAGCCCTTTTAAGTAATTAAGTCAAATTGACTTGTATGTTTTAAATAAAGATCCATACCACACTGAAGGGTCTTAGCAATGGCTTTTTTCAGTCCATATTTACTGAAGTATTCTTAGCCGAATATGAAGAAGGTACAGTATGTAGTGTTAGTAGCAGCAGAGAACGTCAGTAAGATTTAATTATCATGATAAAAATTTCTTTTGGTTTCCCTAGAAGTCTGACTAAGAAGAGATTGAAACAATTACATATACGGTAAAATGCCGTTCAGTAGTATAGTGAGAACTTCCTGCTGCAAAATGTTAAATCTTAAATATTCTCAAACAGAATGTTTTTATGGACTGCTTATAAATGGTGAAAATACGAAACATTGCAATCCCTGTTAAAACATCATTCAAATACTATTCTGCGCATGACAATAAAAGTTTCGTAAATAGTATTTTTTTATCTTGAAGGAGCCTGATTCCCATTAAATACAAGAAAATCTATCCAATCCATCCAGTTTCTCACCTCTTTCCAATGCAGGGTTGCTGGAGATACACCTTGGACAGGATGCTAGACCACTACAGGGTACACACAGAAACAACCATGGCCACATTCACACCAGGGACAGTTTTCCCAGAAGCAATTAACCAACCAGTGTGTTTTTAACGGTGGGAGGAAAACCCAGGAACATACAAACTCCATGCAGATAGCACTCGAGCTCCGTAATTGAACCCAGGGCTCCAGCGCAGCAAGGGACAGTAGCAACCCGATTTATCCCTTTCTGTACCGTTTCCACTAAATTTAGCTCGATCATCCCGAAAGACGATGAGATCAGAAAGCGATCATACCTGTATAAATTGACAGGAGGACGCAAGATCAATTTCTGTGTTTCTTGTAAAGTTACGTGACCTGGATATTTTTAAATTACAGCAATAATCAAACCTTGGCACTTGCTATAAACATGTATAGGGGTAATCAATCTTGCGGATCAGGCGGTGCACACTCATTCCTATGGTGATCGTACTGGAATTCGAATATTTCGTGCGTTCTTTCAAAAACTAAACGAAAAGCACTTCATAAAACAATTGCAACATTACAATTCGATTTAAGTTTTTAAACACGCTAATAGCAGCAACCAACAAACACAACATGCTAGTGTCGTTATTTTGTTAATATTTTTTTACTACAAATTATACATCTTAACCGGCCAAGACAAACTAAAATAGATCATAACAAACGTCACTTTTTACCTGTGCTTTTAGTACCTGTGATATAGTAACTTTTTCTGTGGGCGTGCCTTCAACGATAGAAGAAACGTCCTTTGACATAGCGATGCTATGAATTGTGAGATGCTAGTTCAAAGCGCTGATGAAGGGCGATGTTTCGTCGTATATTTATGACACAGATCTGGATGATTCCTATATACAGTAAAAAATAGTAAACGAAACGTTAATTATATATACATCAGAGGCCCATCTTGTGTCCAGTTATGTTATTTCCCAACTGATTTACTTGTGTGCGTGAATATTTGTTTGGAGCTTCGTTTTCAGACTTTTGAACTGATGAAGGCTTCGCTGCAGGCGGGTTCCACGCAGTGCTGACAACGAAGATGTCCTTGCTTGCCTTCAATATAATAATGTTGTGAAAATCCGGAGTTAAATTTGCGATGCCGGGGAATCTGTCCATCTACTCACCCGACCTCTACTCCCCTCCTCCGGGATTGTAATTCTGCGAAATTGCCGTCTTTTACACACTTCACCTCTGAACACCAACCAGCAGGGCTCCCGGGATCTGATCCACTGCACCGGGCAGGTCTTATTGCGTCGCTCTACTGCTTTCTGAATAAATATTCAACTTTTACGAAAGTTCATAGTGCTTCTATCAGCATTTTCTTCAAGGCTACCATCTTCAGTTTGTCCTTGAGCACTTTTTTTAAAAAAAAACTGCAATTTCTTCTTTTCTGTTCAACGCACACGTCCGTCACGTTGCTTTTTTTATTCTGCTGATCTAGAGTACAAGTTAAATTCGTGGCTATACTGTAGCTACTCAAAGAAGTTTCTTTTCATCTCCCAGTGAAATGAAAGTATGGTAGGTCTTATCTCGACGTTACATTAGTCCTTAATAGGATACAGTACGTGTTTTATTTCACGTTCCACGTCACCCTCCCTCGGTGCAGTTTGTCTATCCCTTGTTCTGAAATGCGGTTATGGGCATCACTAACTATACTTATTACAAAAGCTATCACGCACACCACAGCGACGATATAATGACACTGATACAGTAAACACTGTGACAATCACTCACCGGCAAACTGACATACAGGCTCTGATATACAGACACATTGATAACAGCTATCCACACATACTGACTTTACTATCTAGCAAATACTTGACAAATGTACAGGATAACAATCATTGCAACATTAACAGAGAAATTACTACTGTACATTGACACACTGACCATACTAATACAATCACTGTCAGTCTTGCGTTGACATTTAATACTGCACTCAGACACCTTTAAGCTGAAAAAGTGACACTGACACAATAACATACAGTATGATCCATTACTAAAAACGATTAAACTAACACAATGCACCAATTCATTGATACACACTGAATCGATGACACGCTGCACTCACACAAAGTTGATACCAGGACTCCAAAAATAAAGTGATCTGAAAAACGAAACACTGGAACACTGGCTCATTTACACCGAGACAATGAAACTGGAAACATTGATTGATGCATTAAGACAAAGTTGTAGATTTAGCAGTTGCCTTTATCCAAGGCAAATGACAGTGAAAATCAATGAACTGTAAAATTATACTTTAAATTACAACAGGATTTACAAGGCACACAAATAATTAAAATGCAGGCTCCAGGGGAGAAGTTTAGTCTACATTCGTCCGAAACAAAAGCAAAGCGGTACTGTACAAGGAGCAGAAATTATTACAATAACGTATCATTCCATCTAGCACAAGTGCAAGCAAGCGTGTCTTGAGAAGGTGCTGGAATGTCATCAGAAAATGGCACAGTCCTGCTGGTTTTGGTTACAGCCAAGCCCTCAGATACTACATTAAACTCTCAATTGACTTGGTAATAGGATTCATTATAACTGTTTGACAGCTCATAAACATGTGAGAGGTTTCCTTTTCGATCCATCTATCCATTTTTGAACTGCTTAATCCAGTACAGGATTGTGAGGGAGCCAGATCCTAGCTTGGCAAGCAACCGGTGCAAGGCAGGATACAACTGAGATGGTCCATCAGACACACAGACAAGCACCCACTCACAGCATGGGAAATTATTCCAGATGACAATTAACCCATCAGTATCTTTGGACAGTGAGAGGAAACTAGATTTTTAGAGGAAACCTACAAGAATGTGGAGAGAACATGCAAACTCCACACAGATAGCATCCCAGAAATTGCACCCAGGGCCCCAGCGCTGTGATGCAGCCATGTTCATCACCTCTGGACCTACTCAAAAGTGTGGAATTGTATGTTACTTGCAGGTAATGTGGACTCCCCTCCACCACCAATGTGCAGCATCCACCTGGATGTGATTAGAGAATGCAGTTGTGTACTCAGAAGGTGATGGTTTTATTTCTATTAACATTTACTCATTGCAAATCAGGTATTTTTGTATCTTCCACTGAACATTGTATCTGTGTAAGAAGTGCAAAATTAAACTTTACTACTCTCAGTACTAATCCAGAAGATTTGTTCTCTCGCTCCCATGATGCTTTGCGCAAGAGTGATGCATTATGGGAATCTTTCAACTAACATTAGAGTGAGCTGCCCAGAATAATGTTTTTTCATTGTGCTTTCTAGCATATATTCAGATATCTGTAGTGTCACATTTATTTTGTTTTTATTTCTGTTACGAAATTTGTCAGGGCTAGTAAAAAATAAAGTTTTTTTCTTCTGATCTGTGGTGTGCAGTGCCACAACCAGCGTGCCAGGCATGTCCGAAGATCGAGTACAAACAATGAACTTTTTGAAGAAGGCTTCCATTTGTTTCAAAGACATCTGCCCGGAACAATCCCGCTTTCTCATGTAAGTGTGAAGTCAACAGCAGCAGAGTTCATTTGTTTTCTTTTCGAACAGTAATTCATGGCTGTATTTGTTGATCACGTTGTGGATAGTGTGCCTGTGCAGTGTCTTCACGCTGGATGGCAGTGCTTTGCAGCAAATCCGGTATTATTCCAAGCGAAAAGTATCCTTGCGGCCGTGGCTATGATTTCAAAACGGACGTTTGGTGCCTGATGTATGCTTGCGATCGAACTTGTTTGTGTAGTTAAAGATGGTGCGGAACCCGATTTTGATAAAAGAAAGTCATTTTTAATTGCAGTTGAGTACGATCAAAGAGCTATCATTTAAATAAGGTAGTCCAAATATTCGCTGCCCTAAGAAAATGCTGAATATCTGCTCTCAAGACCTATCAATTAAACTGTCCCAATACTGATTTTGAAAGTATTTCTCTGTATGGCAAATATTTCACATACTCTGAATATGCTTACTTTATGTCTCATGCCAAAGCATGAAAGGAAAATCTGGACAAAAACCTGCTCGTGAAATGAAGGGTGTGTTAGACTTATTGGAAATCAGGGTCCCAAACCCACCCCCCTGTCTGTGGTATTAGATGTCGTGACCTTATCGCTTTGTTTAAATCCGTGAGTGTACTGTATTTTGTGTAAGAAAAAGGGGTCAGGTTGTGCTTGTTTTCGGAGAACACGTTAAGCTGGCGTCGGTGTAGCACTGTTAGCCACACACTTCACTTTCTTACGTCTCTACAGTTACTGAACTATTTACTCCTATTTTGGGATTGTCAGTGGGGCGACAACATACAACATACAACGGAACAAGTAATAGGTTTATTCCATGCTGGAAAAAAAGAAGAAAGAGAACACAACGTTTCGGCCGTGGAACCTTCTTCAGGTGTGGATATAATAATGTTGTGAAATAATAATGTTGTGCACACCTGAAGAAGGCTCCACGGCCGAAACGTTGTGTTCTCTTTCTTCTTTTTTTCAGCATGGAATAAACCTATTACTTGTTCCTTTGCAGCCTACGCATGCTGACGCAGCTACCCACCTGAACTACAACATACAACGACAACATACGCTGCTTCCTTCAGACTAACGTGCTTAAAGAACATTTTGTCTATTCTGGGGGGTGTACGAGGCTTTAAAATAAGTGCAGCTTTGTTTTCATTTAAACAAAGAACAATAGTTTATGTGGTTTTAACGTGTGGACCAGATATTCCTGATATTGTTCCTAGGTCCTGGGCAGTTTTTAGATCTATTCATATTGAGGGCTTCTCTCGGTGCGAAATCCAGGTTTGAAGTTAAGGAGATTTAAAAAAAACAATACGTGGAGATCTTTTGGATTTTCCCCCTCCCTCTGAAACAGGTATTTAGCTGAACTAAATGGTTTCGCAATGGAAAAGACTCGAGTTGTAACTGTTCCTGACTAATTTGTACATCGGGCTGAGTTTCCCCAAACCTAGTTTTCATGCGTTTCATCCACTTCTAGGCTTTAATCCAACTGATTTTAATTCAAGCCTGGCTTGTCTCCCTTTTTTTTATAGCATTTCAATATGTGTAAAATCTGTTCGGTTTCATTTCTGGACTAAAGTTGATCTTGTTAAAGGGCATAGAGAAGGACTATTTCACAGCAGTAAGGAGTATTTGAATTAAAAAGATGTTAGGGTAAATGCTCAGATATATTCAACATTTCATCCACCTTGCAAATGGACAAAGAAGGCCAAGAGCACAAATATTTTGATATGATAAAAAGATATGGTGGAGGTCTAACGTCTTGGCTTTTTTTGTGCTGTGAGGTGAAGGGATAGTGATAGAATCTTAAAATGTAACAGACATTTGAAAATAAATAGATGATATAGTAACTCTGCAGGGGTTCCTTAGGTACAGTATATGCCCCAAAGAGTGCATCATTCATTGCATTGCAAATGAAGCTAATTTTAGAAACTAGGCGTTAACTGTTTGTAGAGCACTTGTTTACATTAACAGGGATTGGTCAGACAGTGAAAAAACACGCTTCTTATTATTACTTTGTTTCAAGACTTGCATCAATGACAAGGAAAAGAACATACCCATTTAATCATCTAAAATGTCATGTGATATTCTATATGATTATTTTGCTAATATATTATGATATATATTGTATATTTATTGCTAATATATTGGGCTATAATTATTGTGCTAAATGAACTTTACACATTCCTACTCCTTCTATGGGTAATGGTGAAGTTAAATCCATGGTAACAACAGGGACATTTTCTAAGATTGAAGCACAGAAGATCCCTGGTTCAAATATCCCCTCTCGGTTTGAAATAATTTCAAGGGAACAACAGTAACAAAATCAAAATGAGGTAGTAACCCACATGAAGCACTCGCTTCAATATGGATCACAGAACTGCACGTTACACCTTTTTTTTCCCCTCAGGCCATAAAACTGCCATTCCTGATGTACTTGTATACAGGGCCTATACTGGAAATATTTATATTGCTCAAAGTTTCCAGATTGAAAAATGCCTACAGCCCCTGTATTCTCTGTGTTACTTATTTGGGAAAACACCTATAAGAAAATAAGTGATATCCAAGGGCTAGTTTTTTAAGAACATGAAATGTGCTTCTGTAAGATAACATCTTGTGTTGTTATAATGATTTGCGTTTGTTACAAGTGGCTATAGTTTTCATGTCCGTGATATTTATGTTTGTAGTATGACGTTATGCTTAGTCGATAACTTGTGTCGAAGGCCCATTCTACCTCTTGAGACAGAAGTGCTGAATTATAAATCTTATTGGAGATTTGGATTCTTTTTTTTTTCAGTCCCACTGGACTCATTTCAGCAACCGAATTCATTGCAAATGGCATTATCCTAATGTATGAAGCTGCATACTAAGTAAAGGATCATCCCAAGTTAATATGCTCCTTTGCATATGTTGCGGTTGACCCACTGTGTGTTGCTATAGTTCCTTCTGACTTCGGCTCTTCCGGAGGGATTATTTGAACACTCTTGTGAGTTGAACTGTGCCTCGTGTTTCTCATTTAGAGGGTTACTATTAGTACTTGACAAAGTGGCCTTCACATACTGCCCATGTTATCAGAAACCAGGAGACTGGTCTTACAGACGCCCTGTTACTGTAATATATTATTCAGTGATGTGGTATGCATGCGTCAGCTGTATAGAGTCAACCAACTTGAGCAGCAGTCTTGAAACCAGGCGTCACAGGAGAGAATGCCGTCTGCCGTCTGTGGTGAGCTGATTGTCAACAATGAGGGCAGGCCACAAGGAGACGCGTCGCGCCGAGCGACCAGCTACAGCGTTCCATTGCAATTTCAGTGAACGTTTGTGGTTTTATTGGGATGTATTATTGGGTAAATGTTTTCTGTGCTGCAGTGTGCTTTGTTTTTGCATTATTCCATTTGCTCAGCATTGTCCTGTTCTGGTTCTGCCTCGTTACTTAGCTGTGTTATCTGAAGTTTAATGAGGAGAAAGTCCCTGACGTGTTGGCTCAGAAACAAGTCTGAAGCAACAAAAATGGCAGTTCTTCAGGATGTCAAGGAGTGTACTGCTGAAATACTGTATAAAGGCCTACCTTATTCTAAGTGCTATAATGTTTTTTGTAGAATTAAACAATAAAAAAATAATATTGTCCTAAATTCAAGGGTAATTGAGTACTATGTCCTAAAACACTGCTCCATTTTCTTACTGCAATATCCTGTACTGTTCATTGGCTTTTTTGCATTCTGGAACAAAGTTGAAGAAAATGAATTTTAGAGAGGTTGTTGTTTTTAGGAAGCTGCATGCTTGGCACCTTAACCACCAGACACACTTTCAAAAAATGTCCTCTCTGTATTGAGCTACAGTATATACTGCAGAAAGAGGGTTGTTTCTGGTCTTGGGGTAAAAATGATAGTAACATACTTAAAAAGTAGCCAAATAAAAGTAACATAATTATTGTTTCTTTAATGTGAATAAACATTTTTTATCCATTTAAAAGACGTACATTGGAAGTCTTTATAAGTCGTTAATTTGACAGTGCCAAGACACCTTGCAGTTTGTCTGCAGCGTCTTTTTGTCTTGACCACTGTGTTGTTTGTAAATTGACTTGGCTAATGTAGCATGCTCTAGCTAAATTTAGCTAGCTAAGAGGTTTCTAAGATTAGCTATCACCCATGGTAACACTAGAAGTTCAAAGAAAAATCTAGGTATCTCTCAGGCTTGAAGTTGTCACTATGATTTGAGGTGCATGCTGTGCTGTGAAACAGGGCTCATACAGTAATAGATTATGTCAAGTATATTTATTTTCTCAAAATCTGCATTTTTGCTAGAGAACTCATTCGTGTTCGGCTTCAGGGTAGTACTGTTTGCACAGCACTCCGGACGTTGTTTTTAAAAAGCTGTAATTTGACAACATGAACACTCAGCAGTGGGGGATTTAGTTAATCATAGTCTTTCCTTTAGCACGTGTGCCTCATATGTGTGCCTCAGACTTTGAATGTCATTGACCATTTTTAGTTTTTGCTATTAATAGTCTAGGTAACAAAGGTCTATGTGACTCATCAGTATACATTGTTCTTAAGCATGGCCAGTGAACAGCTCAACTTTGCAGTAATAAATTTAATTCTGCATTGTTTGTATGTCATTTCCAAAGTATTAGTATAGCAAAATATGTTGTCCTGTATTATTATATATAATGTGTTTTCGATTAAAATCTTTTTTAAAAGGCAGTTTTTATGCTTGTCCTCTTGTAATAATTGTTGTTATAGAAGCATACGTTTATGGTATGTGTGAATTACATATGAGAAAATTAAAGTGGGCATATATTTATTGCCTGTGAAATTGATGTTTTCAGGTCAATCAGCAAAATGTATTCTTCTTCAAGCAAGGGCTCATTGTATGCGAACTTTCATGTATGTATATGAACTCTCTGTTATGCTGCAATATTTTCATATAGCGTGGATATGTTGACACTAATACATTTGATGAACTTACAACACCTGCTTTTTTTTTGTTTGCAGGAGCCAACAACAGGAGAAAGGTAAGCTCAAGAAAATATTTCTAAATGCCTTTTTAAGCTGGTGTTCAAGCTGTTAGCAGAAATTGCTGCTAACAATAAGCCTCTTTACTTAACAAGATAAATTATAATTGAGAAATTGTTTTCAATTAGCGATATCCTGGCCAGCAGGGTTTATGCCACTGTTGTGCAGAAAACTGCACTGCGAGAAAAGAACAGTCATCAACATGTCAGTAATGTAACAGGACATGCCATTGTTAACAAGTGCAAGTGTCAGGCAGTAACAATTTCAGTGTAAAACAGCAAACACCCTCGGATAAAAATAGGTCTGGTGAAGGTTTTACACCTATTTGAAAAATAGTATAAAAGAACTGCAATAGATAATGTAGACAGGAAGGTATTTTCTCAATCATAAACATGTAAATTATTTTAAACCCATTTAAAGCATTCAGTTGGTATGTAGAGAAGGTAAATCAATGAAAGAGTAAAGATCACAGTGATAAATGGAATGGATGCCATGATAGATGTTTTGGCAATTTGGCACAAGACCAGTTTTCCCAAAAAACATTTTAGAGATTATGTAATATTCCTCTTAGTAACTGGAAGAGGTTGTGAGGGATCTGTCAGGATTTGTATACTGCATTATAGGTTTGGAAGTAATTCTGAAACCATACAAAGGAATATGTCAAGAGTCTGTCGAGATGATTGATCCACAAACGTCTTATTTAGAAAAAAAACAGCTGGACAAATGCAAAATTTTTTTTTTGAAGAGACAAAAGATGAGAGATCGTGTCATTGAGAACTTTTAAAGCTGCTATAATACATCCTTGTCCAGAACCAGAACTAGACAGCATGTAAAATATAATTTTTGTCTAAGAAAGGAGCACAATGTCTTGTTTCTCAGTTTTTGCATGAATATAGAAAGGCAAGGCAAAGTGGATATAGGTCTGTACCAGTTAGGGTTTGACTCATTGCTGCCTTTGAAAAGATGCAGAACCAGGGCACACTTTCAGTCTGCTGGGATTTCAGCTGATTTCTAACAGATTGAAAAAGTGGGTCAGCAGGGCGGATATTAATTGAGCAGCGAGTTATATATAAAATGGTTCATCATGACTAGCAGACATAGTACAGTTTTACAAAGCTCGGTTGGCACTTCTGATTCAGTAACAGGGTGCATCATAAATCCTGAAGTACATTTGAACTTGACTGAAATTTACTGGAGTGAATTGGTATTTTTATTCAAATATCCAATATCAGACACACAAGTGGCTTTGTGGAAATGTTACATTTATTCAGTTAACGTTTATCGGTTGCGCAGGATTTCCATAAGTAGAACACATTTTAATAAGTAACTGAAAAATGTAAATAAGTAGGTGCATCAGTGGGTCATGATTTTATTTGGAGCTTCTAATAGGTTTTTGCTTGCACGTATTTCTAAATTGTGTGAAAGAAAGCCAGTGAGTGGAATTGTTAGAGGCCCTAACATTTCTCTAAATGAGTCTTGATTAATTAAAGTTGACACCTTGGGGCCAAATTGAGAGCAGTGGCAAATTCTAACTTTAAACCTCATATCTGGTAACAATCTTTAAATAAGGTCCATGCATCTTTGATGGATAGGATGATAGGATTATTTTTTTATTTATTAATGCCAGAACAGATAAAAAAGCCTGTTCATTAAAATTCATAGGACATCATTTAGATAACATCAAAGGAGGAAGATTCTCTTTTATGCCACTTCTAATACCTGCTATGAAACAGTGATCTAAACTAAAATCCTTACAAAATAGTCGACTGACCTTGATTTAATGTTGTGTTTTGGTGATTTAGTCAGTTCTAGTACAGTATGTTTGACTGTACTCTGACATAAGTTTCAAAGAAAGTTGAATCAAAATGTAGCACCTTAAAAGGACAAAAACAAAAAGTAAGAAATCACGTCGAAAGCAATACTGTCTTTGAAGACTTATTTTTGAATTGGTACTGGTCCTCCTGTACCACATGGCGATGCTTGCAGTGCCGAAGGCTGAACACTCTGATGGATCTGCAGTTCATCTTTCTCTCCTGATGGGTCCAGTGCATGTCAGCAGTGAGCTGAGATGTATTGCCAGCAGCCATATCACCCAGCAACTCACAACTGGCAACCCACTGAAACTAAGCAGGTGTGAGACTGGTCAGTACCTGGATGGGAGACCTCCTGGGAAAAACGAAGGTTGCTGCTGGAAGAGGTGTTAGTGGGGCCAGTAGGGGGTGCTCTCCCTGCAGTCCATGTGGGTCTTAATGCCCCAGTATAGTGATGGGGACACTATACTGTAAACAGGCGCCGTCCTTCAGATGAGCCATAAAACCGAGGTTCTGACTCTCTATGGTCATTAAAAAATCCCATGGTGTTTCTCAAAAAGAGTAGGGGTGTAAATTTCCCATTGGCCCTTACTTAATAACCCCCCTCTAAGAATTGGCTTCATTACTCTGCTCTCCTCACCACTGATAGCTGATGTGTGGTGAGCGTTCTGGCGCACTATGGGTGCCGTCGCATCATCCAAGTGGGGCTGCACATTGGTGGTGGTGGAGGGGAGTCCCCATTACCTGTAAAGCGCTTTGAATGGAGTGTCCAGAAAAGAACAATATATATGTGTAAGCAATAATAATAAAATAATGATAATAATAATAAAGAGAGGCTTCACAGTTCCATAATGTACTGGCTGTCCGTAAACAACGCCTGTAAAAATATCCCAGTAATTCCACATTCTTGGACTTCCTTTTAGAAAGGAAAACAGACATTGGCCATACAATGTATAAAGCTTGAAATGCTCAAGCATTTTCTAAACGGTTTCTTTTTGGCTTAACAAAATTGATTGTATGAGCAGCCTTCTGGTAAATAAAAATTGCTTATTGCAGAGCTAATCGACAACTAGACTGTTCAGCAAACTTTTGGAATTTGTGTGCTAGAGCCTACTGCTGTCCTCAGCATTTCAAATCGGCAGTTTACTTGCTTGTCATAGTACATTTTCCACTGACCTGGTTTCATTGTCAGGTTTGCTAAATAGGACCTACATATAGCTACATATCGCTGGCATATACTTATGTGAGTGCAATGTAGAGACCTGTTAAAAAATAATAATAATTATAGAAATTATAGAAAAGATTATATCGGGATTTTGCAAATACTTTTAGGATATCATTAATTGCAGTATAAGAAAGAAATGAGCAAATACTGTATTTGTGCACTATATTGTTTATTGTAGCATGGCCAGTTATCTAGTTCACATACATTTCTTTCCAGAATTCAGTTTTTGTGTCAGCTTATATCCTAAAGCTGTTTGTGATTCATCGTTTTTCCGGTGCGCATGTTGCACACTTGGCAGAAGCAATCCAATCTTCATTGTTTTGTTTTAAATCAGAGTTGGCTAATATTGCTTGTATATCTGTCTCTAAATATTTTGCTGCCTTTAGTGAGGGAATGGGCAGTATAAACAAATTCCGTTTAGAATTGTTTATATTGTTTGATAATGATGGTGACAGTCCGTTGTTTATTCTTAATTTTAGCGTTAATGGGTTCATCTATAACTTGAGTAAATGTTTCCACTTTTTTTAAATCAAGAATATTATATCTCAGTTTGACTTAAGGGTAGTTTAGTAGTTCATTTCTTTTACACATCCACAAAAAAACATTTGCATGCACTTTAAAGGAGAACGTGATGTAAAAAAGTATTAAATGTGATCCCATCTCACCTCTCTTTGTTGTAGATGGCGGTCTTCGGAATCGTTTGATTTGCCCATTTTGTTTCCAGTGGCGCCTTCCTGGTAACCACAGAGTACGATTCAAACCAAAACAGAAGTCAAACCTCCAGATACAGAAGATTATAAAAATGGAGGCAGCACAGAAGACTCTGAGCCTGAAGCAAATGAAGATTTTGAGAAGGTTTAGGAATTCTACCAGCACAATGGTAAGGCTCATGAGAGACCATGGTCAGAAAGCACACAAATTATTGTTGTTAATTTAATTTTTGTATGCAATACAGGTGGCCAGTGTTTCAGATATCAAATTAATATTTTAGTGTATTTTTTTTATGATTTGTAAAGTTTTGCAAAAGAAAACTTTTAAACGGCCATCACTCAATGTAGTGTTGGTTTCTTTTGTAATTCTTGACGTACAGAGCCTCTATTTCCATAATGCATTAATTGTGTGCTTGATTGCTGTGTTGCAATTCATTTAGCAGCATGTAGAAAATGCAATTTTTCATTTTCCAGTAAAACGTGTTTGTAAAGGGAGCCACTATTATAAAATTTCACCTAGGTTTTACATCTAGTGTAGAGGATTTGCAGTTCAAAGGTAAAAATGAAGTTTATTTCTCTTCTCGCACTTAAGGTGTATTTCTTATAATTGTAGAAAACAATGTAGTACACATGGTATCAGTGGTAATAAAGGGGGTATTTAAAAAAATAATTTTGTGACATCCTTATTGTTTGCAAAAAATAATAGAACTGTAGTTAACCATGTCAAGAAAGTATTTTGTATTAAGGACACACAGAAAGAAAGAATTCCCTGTAATAATACTCCTTCACTCTCAATCAGATGCCAAAGTGGTGTGTTTCCTTCCCTTAAACACCTGAGGCAGTGCTGA